GCTATTCCCCTGAAGGAAAGGTTTAGGCTAGTACTTATTAGGATCTGGAAGTTTAGAGTCCACCAAACAATATGATACTAGGGGTGGCGGCGGTTAGATGAAACCAAGCTCCTCTGCAGATAGAGGGACTCTCTCAACTGGAACAGGGGAGACGAGGATGGTAATAGCCACAGTTCCTTGTGAAGCATGTTGAGGACAAGTCCACCTCACTGAGGTGTGTAGACAGGGGTTTAGGCATGGTCTCCACTTTTCTTTTCCCCAAGTGCTGCCATGGGAGTTCTCCTACACTTAATTGTATGTATTTGCTACTCTTCCCCATCCCCTCTCTGTAGCTTGTCAAAGCACTGGAAGTCTAGAACAGAGGGAGCTTCTGAGCTAGTTATATTGACCACTTAGCACATTAATCTTTTCAAAAAAAGCAGGGCCTCCCAATAATTGTTCCTCATACTCTCTCCCAATAACCAGCCCAGACAAAGGACCTTTTCAGGGCCTCTGGGCATCAAGAAAGGCTCTGGAAATTAGCCCTTACTGGTGATAATGTTATTGAATAATGAGAGGACTGGAGGAGTGAGGCACAAAAACAGCACATTTGGGAGTTTTACCTCCATTTTGTGGCAAAGAGGAACCCAGAAGACAATGTCCTGCACTCCCGGGGAAAAATAGATCAAAGACTCCCAATTCTTACACATTCCTCTCTCCCTCCATAGAAGAGGCTAAGGTGGGTGAATGGGAGGTGCACAAAGACTCTGGGTCACTTCTGCTGTTTTCCATGCCTCCATCTCAGGGCTCTGGTGCTGCTTACTATGCAGAGCTTTGCTTATGGGATGGGAGAAGAGTGGGCCTAGGGACTGCAGGTGCTGAGTCCAGGAGCAACAAGCAGGTTTTCTGAGGTGTCAGGGGAAAAGAAAAATTCACTTCCCTACTTTCTGGGAGGTGGACTGGAAAGAGCCTCGGAGAAGAGTTTTTTGTTTGTTTGTTTGTTTTGTTTTTAAAGGAAAATGGTAAAGACTTTATTTATTTATTTTTAGAGAGAGGAGAAGGGAAGGAGAGAGGGAAAGAAACATCAATGTGTGGTTGCCTCTCAAGTGTCCCCCACTGGGGACCTGGCCCACAACCCAGGCATGTGCCCTGACTGGGAATCAAACTGGCAACCCTTTGCTTCACTGACTTGTGCTGAATTCACTGAGCTACACCAGCCAGGGTGGAGAACAGGTTTGAAACCTGTCATTCAGTTTCCCCTCTGGGCCTCACTTTCCCAAATCTGTATAAAACAGGTATAAGAGCAGCAATTCCCAGGGCTGGGGAGAGGGTCAATCAATTGTGATAAGGAATATGGGAGCACCTATGAACTGTAAATTGCCCACTCAAAGCTGAGAGTGCCCTGTTATTATTGAAGGAGGCCACTGTGTCTAGATATGCTGGGTGTGGGCAGTAAGCCCTTGTGTTCATGGAGCTGAAGGATGAAAGGAGTGTGTCTGTGTATCTGCGCATGTGTATGGGGGTGGAGAGGAAGCCAATGAGGCAAGTAGCTGGAAGATCTAGGACTGACAGGAGAAAATTGGCCTTTGCAAGGCTTTAATGCCTGAAGATCTGCAAGGCTGTCCCCCACCAGAAGAATCCACCTTGGGGTAGGGAGGGTGTATGTGAGAGAGGAGTGGACCTGGTTACCCTGGTCCCCTCCTTCACCTCATTTAGGCAACCTGCTGAAGAAAGCAGGTTGGTGGAGTGACTGGAGGAGTGTTAGGTGGCAAACAAATTGATGAGCTCTTATCATTCTTGGTAGGAAGTGCCGCTAGTTCACCTGTGTGAATGTAGGGCAGCCAGTGTGTTTCGCTGCGGCAGGGCGGAGGGGTTCACCTTTTCACTGGGTGAGATCTGGAGTCTGTGTGGTGTGGAAGTGGGCCTGAGTTGGGAGCTCCCACCAGCGTGGTTGCCCCTGGGAGTTCTTGGACAACTTTTATGGTGACTGGGGAGGAAGGAGATTAATGGGTATGCCAATGCTTGGGCAAAAGTAACTACACTGTGCTGAGCTGCATGAATGAGGCGGCTCCACTGGCCCAGACTAGGGTTGGAGGTTGGAAATGAAGGCGGAGGACGATGGCTACTCTGACTCCAGTGTTTCCCAAAGCAGTTCATGTCCCTAGTCCCCTCATTCTGGCCCGCCTCCTGCTTGGAATCACTTAGGACTTCCATTAGCTGCTGCCAACATTGCCCTTGGGGCCTTGGGGCCAAATCTGTTCGGGAGGGGAGTAGCAGTTTCCCACTGGCTCAGCCCGGATTCCCTTGAGGGCTCTGGACCCAGCGCTCAGCAATGCTGCAGTCCGTGGTAACAGTGGCTCGGGCAGCTCTGTGGGGGCGGTGGATCAAGAAGCAGCTGAGCCCAGCACACAGGGCAGCTGCTGTCTCTGGCTCCGTGAACAGTTGGGTGCACCTGGCACTGGACTCTCCCACCTTCCTTCTGTTTCCCTTCCCCCAGGGTGGGAAAGGTGACTATCCTGACCTGGCATGATTCCCGTCTACCAGAGGCAGACGTATGTCCACGGCGCGCCTCCCGGGTTCTTCTTAATCCGCCCAGACCAGGTAATGGATGGAGGGCTACGGAGGGCCGGGAAGCGACCCGCTTTCCGCCCAAGGTGACCCGAGGCCAGTAGCAGAACCAGGAGCAGCAGCCACGGCCCTGTTCGGCCTGCCATCCCCCAGGCCCATCTCTATCCCCAGGCATTCCCCGAGTGTGGAGTGGGCGTGGGGACCTTGTGGAAAATGGCACTCGTTAGCACCCCCACCCTGTATCCCAGGGCCCAGTAGTTGCAAGGGCAGTGTAGGGTGGGTGTGTAGTAGAAAAGAGTTGCATTCACTCCCTGCACATCTCTAGCCCCTATCCCTGAGGCGTCTACGGTAGGAACCAGGGAGCCAGGTAGCGCGGAGGCTCTGGGTGTGGGCGCCAGACAGGTGTTGAACGTCTCTGACTGGCCCTGGCGGGAGCGGGCTGGGCTCAGCTATGCCCTTCCCTCCCGCAACTGGACGCAGGCTAGACGCTTGTTAGATTTGCACAATGGGCTAATTTTATCCGGCTCCCGCTCAGCAAGAAACCAACGTTGAGGAAAGCCTAGTTCTTCGGGGTGGCTCTGACCCCGCCGAGGCCAGTCAAGGGGGCCGTGAAGAAGGGCAATGCTGTGGCCTCCGTCCCAGAAGAGAAGCGGTCATCTTTTCCTGCTCCTAAGGCGCTGAGGTTGGTATGATCAGGGCCACTGGGGTCCAGAAGAGGAAAAAGTGTTCTGGTAAGAAGATAGTACAAATTCCTCCTTGTGTTTGTTCTCTTTGTTTTCTCTACCTCTGTTCCCATCAATCCTGAAATCCATGGGTTCTAGCAGAGTGACCATCACAAACCACGTCTTTAGAAAATATTGCTGAAATGACTTTAAAACTAGGCATGCAAGCCTGCTTTTGGTGACCACTGGGGAGAGCTGAAAGACAGGAATAAAAAAATCTTCTAAAGCAAAGGCTCCTCAGCTCCTGCAGGAGTTGGGCATGGAATTATTTTCCTTGTGCCTCTGGAGTCTCCTCCACATTTCATTTAAGAATTTACTTCTGGCTCTGGTTCAAACCAGCACCTACCCTATCTAGGTACTAGCTGTCAGACACCAGGGATTTGTTGGGGGCACCTGTAACCCATCAGCTGGCCTGCTCTGCTTCCATGAAGTGGCAGGGAGCTGCTGTCAGACATGAAAAGGCCCTAGAGGAAAGCATATGCTCATACAAATTATGGGATTCCACAGTTTTGAAATGTAATGATCACATACAAACTGGGGCCCTAGGGCCACTGGGGTTGGGGATGAGGGGCAAGTGAACTTTGCTGCAAGAGCCTGGGGCCAAGTCGCAGGACAAAATATTTAGTCTCAGTGGAAGATGAAGAGGCTGGCATACTAAGGATGTCTGCACTGAGTCAGGAGAGAATCCAACAATAGTCAAGAGTTAGGTGGTAAACCAGCCTCTCTCAAAAAGCTAGTCTCCTTTCTTTGCCTCTCCCTTGCCAGGTATGTGGTCATAGGGAGATGGACTTTATTTGTGCCTGTTTGTTTCTGAAGGTGAAAGGGCAGTAGGTGGGACCAGCTCTCCAGGCCAACACTGCATGAAGGTCTGGAATGCTTGGGAAGAAAGAATACCAAAAGTACGTCAGCTGGAAGTTAGAGAAGTCGTGAAAAGATGGGATGTGCTGAAAATAAGACTTGGATCAGATTTTATTTTCACTCAGAGCTGTTCCTGCTGACACCCCTATGGATATGGTCTCATTACATAGTCACTGAATGAAGTAGGCAACTCAGTTCCCCCTCCTTGGGTCAATTTTTCTCATCTGAAAATGAGGGGTTTGGTCTGGATTGGAAGTCAATTACCTTAGTTCAAGCCTCAACCTGCTCTGTCACTGATGAACTGCATGAACCCCTTCCTATCTGTAGGCCTCAGCTTTCGCACTTCAACTTAATGTACAGGATAGACCTGAGAGACCTGAAGGTTACCCCCAGCTTTATCATTGTTGTAGGCCTCTTCTGCATCACCATTAATGTCTTCTGTTGCTGCCTGGATGTGTAAGCCAGGTATACTAGTTCCTTCAGGTTCCCCCATCAGTAACGAGTGGTAGGAAAGGGGACTTGAACTGTGTTATTGCAAGGTCTTTGCTAATTTTCAACATGGAATGCTTGTAACAAGGTGGTGACCCTTGGGAAGGCCTGCATGCCCACTCAGCCACTAACCAGTCATGTTCCCATTTTGTGAAGTAACCACTTTTTCACTTCAGAGCTCCCTTAAAAATCCAATCCTCAACAGCCTGCCCAACTTCAAACCCCTAAGAAGCTCATTTTCAAATTTCTGCTCTCATAGAGAATAGAGAATTTAGACCCTGGCAGAAATTTGATTTGAAATCAGATGTCAGTTCTGAAACCAAACTTCCTGTTGTTAACCAGGTTGAAACTGTTTCACACTTGTAGGCAAGTTACATACCAAAGTTAGAGTTTTAGATGTTTATTTTGTTCCAAACCTTTTGAGGATTTAATTAATGTACCAGGTCTCAAGCTCCCAAATTTTATTCATTCTGCTAGATTTGACTATAAATTCATAAGAGGCTGCATCATACCCTAAATATTAATACTGTGCTGCTTTCGCCAACCAATATTCTCTCCAAAAGCATACAGGCCTACACATGCACATGCATGTGTGTAGAAGTAAATTGACACCCTGCTGTGTTATGTGACACCTGATAAGGCAGATTTGGGACCTATGAATGACTTTCCTTCACCTTGAGAGAAGTGGGTGGTAGCCTGATTCTTAAGAGCTATTCACACCATGTACAACAAAGGAGGCTCTGCAGAACTGCCCTCTAGTGAGTTGGTGGGTATGGGGCAGGAGAAATGGAAGCAGGGGTTTTTGTGCTCATTTTCAATGGTCTCTCCTGAGGCCCAGCTTCTCCTGTTTCACTGCTGTTTGAGCTATTAGGATAGTAATTAGGCCCCTTCCTACCCACAAAGCCAAGAATCAGTGTGTTTTTGTTTGATGAGTTGATAAGGGCCGAACTGGGACCAACAGAGCAGGATCGTGACTTTGACCTTGGTTCAGCCATCAGAGGCCAATGATGCCCCAGTTGCCAGTTTATAACAGAAAGACTCATTGATAGGGACCACTGTCTTCTTTGGAGCCCTTAAGCATCAACCTCATTCTCCTGACCCTAGGATGGCCCTGGCTCGGGAAGGCAAGTTACTATTAGCTCTAAGTCACAGCCAGGGATGCCTGGCAAGAAGATGAGAAAAAGTTTGAATGATAGGGACACAACATACCAAGGCACAGAATAGGGAGAAAGACACACAAAGAGGCTGAGTGAGGAGAGTGGTTGAGCTGCTAATGAGGTGAGTTGTGATAGCTAGACGCGGCAAGACTATTGCTTAGAGTGTGGGCATAGGAAATTGCCTGGCAGCAATTTTGGAAGGTGAGTGTGGTCTAGAGTCTACCTTTCCTGGCACGTTTAATGCCAGCCAACCAGAGTGACCACAAATGCACAACATGATGGACACATTTGTTGGTAAAGGCTAGCAAGGTTTCACCTTCCTAAAAGAAACTGTCTGAACCTTTGTGTAGCTGCCGCCTCTACCTTTTGGGGATCCAAGTTGGGAATTGGGTTTTCCCTAATAAAGTCTCTTTCCTGGCCTACCCCAGGTGGAAATATTGACCTGTCATGAGTCTGTACTTTACCAGGTCAATAACTATTGCCCCTTCCCCATACCATGCCATCTCTCTGTCATCAGGCCTCCTCTGCCTGCTGAGATGAAAGAGATTTCTTCACATTTTGACAGATGGATACAAGGATGGGGAGCTGGGCCTGCAGACTGCATTGGCTTGGGAAATCTGTAAAAATCAGTGAGTGCTGTTTAAGACCCCTTCTCTATGTGATATTCTACTCTTCCAGTCTATGATTATAGCAGCTTGAGCCAAAAGGTGAGGTGTGGCTCAGCCTGAGATGAGTGGGACTAATACTACTATTGGGGGTGGGCTGGACCAAGGTAAGGCTGATTGGCCCAAGCTCTGGGTTCCTCCTTTATTTAAGCACCCATGTGTCTATGACAGTCATAAAAAGAAATAGAAAGGGAAGAGAAATGATAAGGAAGTAGAGGAAAAAAAGGAGGAAGGGTAGAAGGAGGCAGACTGTTAACCAACCAGATAATAGGGAGACTATCTATATACTTGTAAACTAACAGCACCCACAGTTCTTGGGAAGCCACAGTCCTCAGAAACTCTAAGGCTAAACAAGGCTCCTTGTTTCATTTTACCTCTCTGCCCTCCCCCACCCCCTCCATCAGTGGCTCCTAAAGTAAGATGGCAAGGAGCTTCTCAGCACACAGAGGCTTGAGTCTTCCCACTAGGCTCCTGAGGACACAGTAGCACCTTTGATAGTTGCTTCTATTGGGTTACTAACAAGCTGGGGCCAAGAGGTCCCATGCCCCTCCCCCCCAGGGGTTAGAAAGTATACAGAGAGGTTCCAAAGGCCAGGGGGTGATCCAAAGGTTTTCTAGATCCTGGGAGAAAGACCCTGGCAAGTTTGAAGGCATTCACAAAGAGGATTTGGTTACTAAGTTTGGAACACCTGGAGCTTTGGCTCCAAAGGGATGGTCAGGTGGCTAAAATGCTGTGTGCATAGGTTTGGGGACAAGTGTGCTGGTGGCAAAAATTTAAATGCTGAGCAGGGTGGGGTAAAGGGTAGGGGTTGGAGAAGAGCACACGATGACAAGGAAGAGGCATTAGATTGGTTCCTCAGGGATGGGAGAGCCTGGCAGCAGCTCCCTACTGGGTTCTGGGTCAGAGGCCAACATCTTGTCCTTGCTGGAATCCCTTTGCTCTTTCTTGAACATCCTTTGATGCATCAGAGGGACGAAGAAGAGGATTACAGCTCCAATTATTGGGGGCACACCAGCAAAGTAGAAGGCCACATGGTAGTCCCCAAAACAGGTACGGAGGAGGCCTGAAATAATTGAGAGAGGAAAGTCAAGCTCAGCTTTGCCCTACTGTCCAAAAGTGCTTTCTGCCTCTTCTTAGGGCCATCACAATACCTGTACAGAGAATTTTGGCCTAAACTACCTTGACCTAAAAGACTTGAAATACTTCTAGTTGTAATAAATTAAACCTTTATTACAAAGGTGGATGACTCCTCCAAGGTAATGGGGCTGCAGTCCTTTGAGGTTAATGCTGATTATGAAAGAAGCTGATGAAACTTCTTTTAAAATTCTCCATTTGTGACTTTCATGAAACTACAGCTAACTTCTAGTCACTCCTAGGTATGGAGTTAATTTAAAAGAAGGAAGCTAATTTGGATGAACTTCATAGAATACGGCCAAGCCTTGTCTTGGTTCACAGTGACATAATCTTCCACCCCAAAGTTGGACTAAAGTGTTCTTATAGAACAATTCAGCCAAATTCCTACTCATACTTTCTCTTAAGTTCCCATTTGCCCTAACAGAGGGGCTGTATGTGTATCCTTCCTTCCAGGTACAGATATGGTTTGTCCCTCTCGGTTCCTCTAAGTTAAGAATACCACCTATATGTTTGGCATGGGATGCTAGGCCTCCTCAACTCACCTTCAGAAGCTAATGTGAGCCACCTCATAGGAGGAATGAACTCAGAAACACTACTGAGGAAAGGCAAGTAGGCTCTTGTGCTGCTTAGGAGGTAAGCAAATTGGAAAGGGATGTGGATCCTGGAACCCACCTTTGGGATCTGTGGCTGGGTAGAGGGTCCCCTCTCCCAGTGGACAATGTGATTGGCACAAAGGGTGTGAGTAGAAGCTTTTGCCAGTCATAGAACATGATGAGAGATGTTATAACATCTTGCACAGAATTTGTGTTCAAGGAATATTTGTTGAGTTAGCCTAGTTGGCCAGCCTAGGAAAGGCTAGCCTATAAATTAGTATTTGCAATAAATCCTAAAGAAAGGAAATGAAGTTCTCTTTCCATTGGTTTTCCTTGTTTCCTATGTTTCCTGGGGTACCAACAATGTCCTTCCTGAAGAGTGGAGAGAAAAACTGGAAGTGCTGAAATACAGCAAGCCAACACTTTGCTTACTCCTTATAGGAAGTGAGCCACACTAACCCAGTCCTGGGATGAGGTCATACTCAAATCTCTTCTACAGGCTCAGTTCAGAAGCCAGTAGAAGAGGAAGGGGTGTCTCTAAGTCTTGATAAAACAGGGCCCATTTTCTCTTCTCTTCCTTCCCAGCTACCTTGCAAATAATCACTTACCTGTAAAGAGAAAGGGGATACTAGATCAATAAAATGGTCAAGAAGGCCAAATCCTTTCTCTCTCCACCCTCTTGGAATCAGCCATGCTGCCCACAATAAAACTCCACTGAAACACATATATAGCTATGAAAAGCCTATTCCCCAAAATGAATCCATGCACATACACTGTGCTTAATCCCTTTCACTAATAGTTGTAACAGGTTCCATGCACTCTGACTAGGCTGCTTAAACAAAGAATAAGAAGAAGGGGAACTTTGAGTAGAGGTACTTAGGCAAGCTACCACCCAGAAAAGACAGGACTCCCACACTCCTACCTCCCACCCCCGTAAAATCAGCCTCACCTGCAATGGGGGGCCCAGCAATCATCGGCAGGGCCATCATGCCCAGGAGGTAGCCAATGGCCTGTGAGGCCTGCATTGGGCCCACCAGTTCAAATGCGATGGGGGCCATGATGGTGATGAAGAAGCCATCACACAGGCCCAGGAAGAGGCAGACAACGATGAGGCCCCCGAAGCCCCGGCACAGGGGAATCATCATGGACATCAGGCCCAAGAGCAGGAAGGAGATGACCTAGAGGAGCAAGGCCTGAGGTTGGTCATGTTATGCTTGCCAGTCAAGACCACATAGCAAATCATACCTCCTTTATCAGGGTCTCATTCCTACCATGCATAAAATGAGGTAGCAGGGTGACAACAGAGAAAGCAGCTAGACTAAATAGTTACTTAGGTCTCTTTTAAGTCCTACATTAAAGGATTCAAAGTTTTTTTTAAGAGAGCTCCTATTTAACTGCGAGTCTATGTTGTTGCTGTCAGTGGGTTTGTTAGGTTCATCAGTTGGTTTTTAGAAAGAATAAGAAGTGTCCTAGCCATGCCATGTGAGGAAATCTCTTTGCTGGGGGGACTTTTGAACTTTTCCAGGCTGTTTTGGGATATTTAGGCAAAATCTAGGAATAAGAACCCAGATACCCCAGCTTCTCTAGGAGATTCATGCATGATATCAACAACCAAGCCACAATGGTATAGCAATATAGCAAGAGTTAATACCATTATATAACACAAAAGCCCATTAACTGATTTCAATCAGTTTTAATTACTACCTATTTTATATAGCTGCCTGTTAACATCCTCTATGTGGCCCTGCCAAGGTTTGAAAATTAAAAATCCCTCTTAGAACTGAGAATCAGACCTGAAGAACTGGCCTAAAGTGAGGCTATTCTGTAGGTTGTCACTATTTCCTTCCCAACAGACTGTCCAGGGGCTTGACACCAGACACATGTACCTGTCTTCTGCAATAGTAGAAACTACAGGGTCTAGTGGATGGCTCTTCAGAACACCTGAAGCTATGTGCACACTCCTTTCTTCTCCCAGTCTTATACTCAGGGAGAAGGGCAGGGGTGGGGGACAAATTTCTGTGATAGAGTATTTTCAGTAGCTCAAGAGAAAGAAGTTCATCCATTGTCTTGTGCTCATAGACTTAGACACCAGCAGGATGAGTTTAGACAAGTCACTTTCCCTCTCTGGGCCTTGGTTCCTCATTTGTGAAATGAAGAAGTTGGACTCCAAGTTGATTGTTTCAGCTACAACACTCTAAGATTGTTTTATATTATTCTAGGTGGTAAAACTGGGTCAAATAAGAGTGGGAATGGGGAGAGAGTGGTGGGTGGGCAGGGTAAGTGGTCAGCAGAAGCACTGGGCCCTAAGCCTAGTTCTGCTTCTGACTAGCTAATTCTTCTGCTTCCATTGGAACTCACTCTGCTCAATAGAAAGCAAGAGCTGCTTGGGCCCTACCTCTCTCCTAGGGACTGTGGTGAGAAATGAGCTATATGGCTAGGCAAGAGCTACTGCCTCTTCTCAAGATAAAGCCCTGGTCCTGTGCTAGCTTCCCCAGATTTTCAGTACCCTTTGGTATCTTGGAGCTGCTAATACTGGCAGGAAAGACACACCGGGGTGGCATGTAGAAGAGGCTGGGAAATCCACACATAATCTAATGTAAAAATCCACCCAGATAAGGCACTTGCTAATATTTGCGCAGGAATTCAAACTTTCACAATTGGTTTATCTCAATTATAGGCTTTTGGTTTGACTTATTATCTCTGGGACTTGGCTTTGCCTTCTAGCACTTAAGGTAAAGTAGAATATGAAAAGAGCATTACATAGGAGTTCAGCTCTGCCACAACTGGCTGTAGGTCTTCCTGTTAGTCTACCCATCAGTACAATGAGAGATAGGACTAGATGAATCGTAAAGGCACTCCTAGCTCTGACAAAGCAGATTCACCAATTCTTGAAAACCTAACACAGAGTTAAATACAACAAAAAACTTTGTCCAAGACATCTGAGGGTATTTAAGAAAACCCTTGGGATTGTCAAAAGACAGAGAGATCCCTGCTGTGAGTGTAGTTAGGCCCCCTTGCAAATGATTTTAGGGCTTTCTTAGGGAGTCAGTACTCAAGTACTTCCTGATAGATTATTTGTGGTCACATGTTTTCTGGGACTGCCATTGCCCCTCCACAGGGCTTCACACTTAGGCATCTTCTAGTAAACTCAACTGCAGAAGCAATAAGAATGAGCCAGGTTAGAAAGGCAATATTGCTATCAGGTAGACGAAGATAGACAGCTTAAGCAGGAGTCTGTATTCAATCCAGACCAGAGTCCAATTCACACAGAAAGTGGCCTATTGATCTATTGCCCACAATATGAGGCTACTTGAGTCACTATCAGAAGGATTAAAACCTTGCATGGCTATAAGACTTTTCAACTTCCCAAAGCGTAGTCATGCCTATAATTGTTTTAGTCCTTACCTGTAAGGTGAGATAGGAAAAGCAAGAATTATTCTAATTGCACAAATGGCTAAAGTAAGGCCTAGAGAAAGGGAGTAGTCTGGCCTTGCATGGTACTCTTTTTGTGTCAAAGAAGAGGGTGGCATTTAACAGCCAGTGTTTTGTGCCAACTAGCTCTGGAAGTATAAGAGATTATGAACTTGACGCTGGGCCTACAGGAGACAGACATTGGGCCACAAGGTGTTACACATGTCCAAAACCCTCCAAGAGAATATAGGATGGCCATGAGATCACCCCTCACTGGTGGCAGCATCTAACTGCTAGCCTCACTTTCCCTCTTTCAGATGGGAGATCCATTATTAATAAAAACTTTCTTTGAAAATGTTCTAAAAGTTACATTTAGACTGTTCTCACTGGGTCCTCACTCCACCTTGATGAAAGAGGCAGAACAAGAATGATTATGTTTATTTGAAAGTGAGGCAAACTGAGGCTCAGAGAATTTTATTGACTTTCCAATGTTGCATAAGCTGGTGTCCAAGTTGAGGCCCAGGGCATAACAATGACATGACCTACCAGTATATCCTAAAAAGTGGGGATGAAGTAGCATCTGTGGCTGTATTCTTCCCCACAGTGGACAGGGTGGCCACACTCACCTGCAAGTAGATCTTCTTAAGTCCAGGAATGGAGTCACTGACACGGCCTGACACAAGGCGCCCAAGGCCTGAGGTAGCCCCAATACACACCAAGAGCACCCAGGTCTGCTTGATTTCCAAGAACTCCTCTTCCACATACTTCATCTGAAAAGCACAGCATCAGATCCCCCAAGACAAGAGAAAGAAGAGGAGCTGACTGATTAACTGTTGGAATATCCAGAACCCTCTATTGCTTACTTGTCTGGACTATGATAAGAACTACCTTCCTTGTAGCCCTAGCTCTGGGACAAACTCCATGGCTGCTTCTAAGCACTTAAAAGGCTGCATATTCCCTGGCTCTCTAAATTCTGGGCTATTTAACACAGCTGAGGGGAATGGGTATCTCCAAGCCCCTTCCAAGCCCTTGCAGGACAGAATACAGCCTTAACAACTGAGAAAAATCCAATGGTTCCCCTACAATCTCCCCATTCCCTGACCCAGAACTGACAGACTGGGGAAATAGCAGCTCACCAGGGGAGAAGGATCCATCAACTTTCAGGTACACTTCTAAAAGTGTGTTTTAAGAAACATGAGGTCTGTGGAAGATAATGAGAGTACAGCTGACAATTCCAGTAAAAAGTTGGGTGGATGCTGGTTAAACAAAACTGAAGGATTTGTTTACTGCAGGATTTTTTGGTACCTTTAAAAGATTGCTACATAATATGAAGCTAAAGAGATCTAATGTATGTTATTGCCTAAACAAAATCATTTGACCACAAAGACCAGCATTCCATAGAACACACTTTTAGACAACCCTATTCTTGGGTCATCTGGGCTAGTCTCCTCCACACCAGTGATGCTTATCTTCTGAAAACCTACCCATCTAGACTTATCAGTGGAAGAAACTTCATGCATAGGCTTTTCCCTAAAGAACTAACTCCCCTTATTTCCCACTGAAGTCTTCCCTCAACCTGTCCTCTTTCCCACTCTGAGTCTCTCCAACTACTGTTTGTCTGTTTTTCCAAAGGTCTCACTTTTGCCCTTTCAATATCCTCCACCCCTACCCTCTTGCACTACAGGCAGGTTAATGGCAGATTCTTGGGACCAGGTTGGGTGGGCCCACCCTGGTATTCCTCACCAGGTGTACATAGGGAACGAAGTAGCCAAGGGCAGCAGCAGCAATCCCAAAGGCCCAGATGCGGTAGGTACGTTGGCGAAACACTCGCATGTTGAAATACTTCCTGAGTTGAGCCAGAAAGCGTTGGCACACGGTATGGACACCTCTCTTGCTTGGGGTGTCCTGGGAGCTGGGCAGGAGGGGCCGGTAGGTGAGTGAAAGCAGTGTAAGGATAAACATGAAGGTACTCAGCACCTGGAAGGTTTGGGCGAGCTTTATCTTAGCCCCCAGCGTCTTGATGAGAAGGGGGAAGGATATGGAGAAGATGCTACTCCCAGCAGACACTACACCATTGGCCAGACCCAGGCGGCGTTGGAAGTAGTGGCCCAGGATGACGAGAGATGGCTGAAAGGCGAAGGAACAGCCACAACCAAAGAGAATCCCATAGGTGAAGTAACGCAGGCTTAATGAGCTGTGGGAGAGACACCAAGAGCTATCCTCAGCAGCCTTACCAAAAAATTTACCTGCCCTTTCCCCTTTACCCTCCTGAAACCTGCATGGCCCCCATCATTAACCCACAGCCCCACTTACCACTGACCCTCAAAACAGAAAAGAAGAACCTTCTGATCCCCATTTTGCAGATGGGGAGACAAGCTCAAAGAAGTAAAGTAATTTACCCAAGGTAGCATCACTGTGGATCAGCAAAGTTTGGACTTGACTCCAGATCTGTGTGACTCTTTTGAATCATAGCATTCAGAGATGATTGGTCAAAACAAAGTCAGAACCAGCCTATTCAAAGGCTGGATGAGGGGCTATTCAGTGCTTTAGAGAGAACAGTTTCACCTATTGCTCACCTAGGCAGCATGGGTTGGCTGGTAGCCAAAGCTTTATCCCAAGTAACAACAAAGGCCTGCAAGGAGCCAAGATCCTGGAAGGTTGACACCCTCCACAGGACTCTTCAGTATCTTTATCCATGCTCAGAGTTCTTAATATTTCAGAGAATGTCTGGTGGTCCCTTGAGAGATAGCCCATCCTCAACCTACCCAAAGTCTGAATATCTCAGCATAACCCAGCTGCTTGACGGGAAATGGAGCCTCAAAAAAGTTATGAGTCTCACAAAGTAACACAGGTTCTGGCTTAAAATTCTTAAGCCTGCAGGGGCCATAAGCCTCTGTAACAGAAGGCAAAGTGGTCAGCAGGGAAAAGGCCATGTGAAGGTTAGCTTGGCCAGCCATCTGTACCTCCAAAATATTGGCACAACCTAGTGAGAAATTTTATTTTCTTTTTGAAGCCTCCACATATTTTGCAATAGTTTTTATCTGACAACTTAATTATCTACTAATTTTCATGGTCAGGCAGTTTCTCCCCATAGATAGAGCCAGTCCTCACACTAAAAAGACTGGACCTATGCTGAGGGATAATATGGTGATTGCATGCATGATTCCAACCACAGCAATCATTACTATTGCTTTCCATCTGCTTGTATTCACTGGATATGAGCAAGGACTTTGGTTTCAAAAGGGTTGTCTCCACTTGGAGCACATAGCTAAGCCAACTGCTCCTCTTCCACCAGATTCCTTGGGGCCTGCTCTCCTGAGATCCTAGGGACTCAATGGTATGGCATGGGTGAAGGATTTTGTCTAAGGGACAGGAGTTAGACCAGCAGAGTGAGGGCTAGTGAGGGCAAAGCATGAGGTTCTGTCTAGGTTGTTATGTGGTAGATCTATTTCTAGCTGCACCCTAAGACAGGAGGCCTCTGAACAGGCTTGCAAGTCCTCCCAAGCCCTGTCTGCATTCTATTCCACATCATACCACCCAAAGGAATTCAGAGCCCTGATTCAAGGAACAGGAAGGATGACTTAGAGCCCCAGCCACAAGCAGAACCATTTTTCCACTGGGTGTGAAGCCACCCAGAAAATTTCTCAGCTTTGAAGAAGTTGTTATAGAAAAGGAAAAGAGGTTGAGCGAGGAGCTTAGGGGCCTGGAGAACAGAATGCCTACTCCAATGTGCCTAAAGATGAGTGCCAGAAAAAAACACACCTGAGCTTCTTCCCTTTCTGCAACAGCTCATGTGGATTACAAGGGAAATGGGATCCTTATGTTGCTAATTTGTTTACACTTTGCTATTCTTGTCCTTAAACACCAGGCCTCTACTGTGTAGTGCCAAGACTGGAGCTACTTCTGAGGCCTAGCTCTTTCCCACAAGGAGCCAGGCACCAGCTTGCTAAGGATGAATGAGACCAACCACTGGAGAGGTTCAAAAAGGGTTTGGAGCTGCTTGCTTGGGAGGACTGAGCAGGTTCCAGGTAGGACATGGTTTTCCTCTCCTCTGAATTAGGTGGGACTGACTCAAGAAAACATTGCAGGACACATCTAAGCTTTGCTGGAGGGTAGGCTGAGCAGCCAGAAATACTCAAGTCATAAAAAAAATCTGGCTCATCCTCAAAGGGCCCAGTTGTGGCAGAGCACTATTTATCATTCTCTGATGTGAGTGGAATATTAGACCTAGAAAGCATAACCATGGCCCTACTCTGGGGAACAAAGCTCAGAATGCAGATCTCTGACAAATTAACTGTATCTCCAGGCCAGCATTTTTCTACACAAACCCAGGCAGATTGGAAGTAGGAGCTACCATAACTTCCAAAGTGTTTTTGGCAGAAAGTCAGTGGAATCCCCTATTTCTCAGTTTGTAGTGGCGGGTTTTCACTTCTCCCCTCAACTACAGACATGCTTCTGCAGGGCTGGCAGAAAGTAAGCAGGAAATGAACCTGTAGCTTGCTCCTTGTCTGGTACTACTAACTTCTGCCAATGCAACCAACAGGACAAGAGTTTGACTTTAGCTTAGGCCTGGCTGAGTAGCTCAGTGCTAGGTTTGTACCTCAGTCGGGATGCTGCTAAATATCCCTTCTCATGCCCAAGATACGAATCTTTATCTGTTTCAAACCAACCATGCATTGGCAACCAGAAACGTCCTGAAAAAAGCCAGAAATGCTTAACAGCCTGGGGCTCAGCTGACCTCCTTCTCAGTATAAGATTCCCTCAGGAGTACTGTGATGGTAGGTGTCTACATGCCTTTGCTCTAAAAGCTCATTACCAAGAAGGCAGATGAGGTCATGAGATGTGTGGTACATTGAAGGGGAATAAAATGGCAGAGCTGGAAGAGACCCCAAAAGACCATCTGGCTTAATCCCCTCATATTAGAGATACAGAAATTGAGGCTCAGAGAGGGAAATAGTACTCATCAATTGTTCCATATCTATTTAGTGGCCAAAACTGGACATGGGCCCAGCTCTATAAACTCCCAAACTTAGATCCCTCCTACCAGTTTGTGTCTTCTTTGGGGATATTCCCTACCAATGGGCACTGGGGACCCTACCTAGATGAGTCCCATTGGACAATGAGTATTCTGCATGAAAAGGGTCACAGAAGACTCTGCAAGGAGAAGAGTGTCCCTAGTTAAGTCCAGAAAGAGGCCAACCCTCAGGCATAGGCTTCCACCAACTCCTAGCCTTACCTGGTGAAGGAGCTGGTATGGAGGCCGATGAAAGCGACAGCAGCACCTGCAGTTGCTGTGATTCGGCAGCCCAAACGATCAGTAAATATACTCACAATGGGAGAACAGAAGAAGATCATGCCCATTGAGAGGGCTCCTACCCATGCTGCAGAGAAAACAAGCACAAAGATGCCTTAGCTTAATGTGGTATCTGGTGGTATGACTGGTATCTCAATTCTTTTTCTCTCGCCTTTCACAGGGGCATTGCATTGGCCTGTGCTGCAAGCCAGCTACTCCCTAGTGGCCAGAGAGCTTGGGCAATTTTCAAAGTACTTGTAGCAGGGCAATGTAAGAACGAAGAGTCTAGTTTATAAACACACCCAGAACTTGAAAACTGAGGCAGAGGAGCTTTAAAGATCAAGCAAATAATGAAACCTAACTAGTTACCATGCAGCTGTACATTTCTCAGCCTCTTTGGCTGTTTAATAAAACCAAGTGACTGAATTCTAACCAACAGAACGTGGTTAAGTGATAAACACTACTTCCCGGCCTGGACCATAAAAATGTCCCATCACGTTTCTGTGTTCTGATGGGCTACAAATGCAGAGTGACTTTGGAAGCAATGTATTAAGACTGGCAGAACTGCCATCAGTTCTATCTGGGTCACTGAATAACTATATTGAGCAAAGTTCCCCTTCCCTCTCCAATATGGAATCCCTGTTCTGAATGATACATAAGTAATAGAGAAATATTTTGTCCTTTAAGCCATCAAATTTTTAAATTGTTGCATCCACTTTGAAAATCTTTTATTGAATTTATTGGGTTGACACTGGTTAATAAAATTATATTGGTTTCAGATATACAACTCTATAATACATCATCTGTATATTGTATTTGTGTGTTCACCACCCCAAGTCAAATCTTTCATCACCATTTATCTCCCTTTACCCTCGTCTACTTCCCCTAATCCCCTTTCCCTCTGGTAATCACAGTACTGTTGTCTGGGTCTATGAGATTTTTCTTTACTTAATCCCTTCACCTTTTTTACCCAGCCCCACCAACTCCCCACCCCTCTCACAGCTTCCAGTCTGTTCTCTGTATCTATGAGTCTGTTTCTATATTGTTCGCTTATTTATTTTATTCATTAGATTCCATATATAAATGAGATTACATGGTGTTTGTCTTCCTCTGGTTTATTTTACTTAGCATAATACTCTCCAGGTCCATCCATGCTGTCATGAAGGGTAAGATTTCCTTCTCTTTTACAGCTGAGTAGTATTTCACTGTGTAAAACATACCACAGCTTTTTAATCAACTCAATTTTTGAAGGCCATTTGTTACGGCAGTCAAACCAACAGAAACTAAAACAAAGATATCCCTCCACTACCATTTTATTGGTAAATAAGCAGATCCAGAAATGTGAAGGAACTTATCAAAGATCATGCATCAAGTAAGTGGCAGAGTTGGGACTCAAATCTAACTGTCCTTATTCCTAGTCCAAATTAATTGTATTATTTTATATCTTCCATTGGGATGAATAAAGTTTCCCATCATTGGAGGTGTACAAGCAGAAGCTAGATATAAAACAGGGGACTCAAGCATTGGGGTCATATTTAGACTAGTCTACTTTTTAGGCCCTTCCAGGAATGCTAAACCAGATCTATAGCCTTAAGCACTTAGCTACTTGGCTTTGGAGCCAAAAGGTATGGGCATTAAGCCTTTAAGAGCTAACGTAAGACTCATCTTAAAGATATTAAGACTAAGCCCTGGCTGGTGTAGCTCAGTGGATTGAGCGTGGGCCTGTGAAGCACACGATCTCGGTTTGATTCCCAGTCAGGGCACATGTCTGGGTTGCAGGCCAGTTCCCAGCAGGGGATGCACAAAAGGCAACCATACATTGATGTTTCTCTCCCTCTCTCCTTCCCTTCCCCTCTAAAGATAAATAAATAAAATCTTTAAAGAAAAGAAATAGATGTAATGAGAGTTTTTTAAAAAAAGATATTAAGACTAAGAAGCAAGGAAGGTCACAAACACAATACAGGTTCAGGAGCCACCCAAAGATTTCTAAAGACACTGTACAAGAGGATCATGTAACCATTATGCCGAAGTTTTTCATCGGAGCCCATGTTGGGCAAATCCCTGGCTCCAAACTTGAATAAGAAGAGTTTATTCTGTTTAAAAAGGCTCTTAAGTGTCTGTAACAAAGCTCACCAGAGAGAAAAAAAATTTGTCCTTTTAGTTAACATTCTTCTGCCCCATTTCTCCTTGTTCAACCCTCAGAACAAAAACCCAAGGATTTTTGTTTGTTTGTTTGAAGACTGTTATCAAGTTTCATCTTGGGCCTCTCTTTTCTAGGTTAAATAATTTTAGTTCCATTAACTTTTTTTAATCCTTAATTTCTAACTCTGTTATTACTTTCAGAGCTCTCCTCTGAACACATTCCAAGTCTTCATCATCATTATCAAAAAGCATCATTGAGTATCATCTGAGCAAGGCACCAAGCCAGCTTCTGGCTTTCATCAATTGTGGAGGCCCAGGTGGGCCAGAGAAGGGCAGTCTGAGTGAGGTCAGGGCTAGCTGACTGCCTTTGTCTCTTACTTCAGTGCCTAATAGGTGTTTCAGATCCCCATTGGGAAAATTTGCATTGCTGGGGTGCCATCTTGAGCCCTACCTGCCTGGCTCTTAAAGTACTGGTATGGGACAGCTGGGAGACCTGAACTCTCATCACAATTTTACCTCCTACCTTGCAAGTTCCCGTCTTATCATCTCTCAGACCTTGAGTAAGTCACACAGCCCTTCTCTAATCCTCAATTTTATCATCTGTAAAATGGGAATTAAAATTCCTTATGTGCCTTCCTCAAAGATTTTGTTAATGAGATCAGATGTAGGGATATGTATCACAGAGCTTTGTAAGTACTAATAGTCACATCATATTAAAAAATTTTAATGGAAATGGTCCATAGACTTAAACGTAAAACTTAAAACTAAAAAATTCTAGAAGAAAGTGTAGGAGAAATCTTTCTAACTTTTAGTTAGTCAAAAATTTCACAGATATTTACAAAAGCGAGATTCATAAAAGAAAAAAATTGATACACTAGACTTAAAAATTTGAAACTTATGCTCTTTGAAAAATACTGTTATAAAAATGAAAGGGCAAGCCACAGGCTTGGAAAAATATTTACAACACACACATCTGATAAAAGATTGGTATTCAGAATCCAAGTATGCATTGACTCTCACAACTCAATAAGAAGAAAACAATGCAATTTAAAACATGGGCAAAAGATCTGAACAGATATTTACACATATATACAATATGAATGGTAATTAAGCATATGAAAAGGTGTTCAATATCACTAATAATTCAAGAAATGTAAATGAAAATTACAATGGGATACCCTCTACAACCCACTAAAAAAGTTTTTTAAAAATGGCAATACCTAGTACTAATGAGAATAAAGAAGAACTGGAAATCTCATATACTACTGATGAAAATGCAAAATAGCCAAGTGCTGGAAGCAACCTAAGTGCCCATCAATAAATGAATGAATCAAAAAACCGTGGTACATTTACAGTTGGAATACTACATAGCAGAAAGAAAGAAGGAACTCTTACCCTTCATGACAGCATAGAAGGAACTGGAGAGCATTATGCTAAATGAAATAAGCCAGGTGGTGAAAGACAAATACCATATGATCTCACCAATAAGTGGAACCTAATCAACAAAACAAATGAGCAAGCAAAATATAACCAGAGACATTGAAATTAAGAACAAACTGACAGTAACCAGAGGGGAGAGGGGAGGGAATAATGGGGGAAAAGGGGAAATGGTTTTCAGAAACATGTATAAAGAATACATGGACAAAACCAATAGGGGGTAGGAGCAAGGGTGGGAAGTGGGGATGGCTGGGGTGGGGGTGGGGGAGTGGTGGGTGGAAAATGGAGAAAACTGTACTTGAACAACAATTAAATAAAAGTTAAAGAAAAAAATGCAGAATAGTATACCTACTTTGGTTAACAGTTTGGCAGCTTCTTATAAAGCTAAATATACAGCCCTGGCTAGTGTGGCTCAAACGGTTGCCAGTTCGATTCCCAGTCAGGGCATATGCCTGGGCTGAGGGCCAGGTTCTCAGGTGAGAAGGGTGTAGAGTCTGTGTTTAGATTCTTTTTTTTCTTTGGAAATGTACAGTTGTTCCAGCACCATTTCTTGGGAAAACAAAAACAAAAACAAAAAACCCACCTTTGCTCCACTGTATTGCTTCTGCTTCTTTGTCAAAATTCACCTGGTTATGTATATGTGAGTCTATCTCTGGGGTCTCTAATCTGTTTCATTGATCTGTTTGTCTGTTTTTAAACCAATAATACACTGTCTTGAATATTGTAGCTTTATAGTCATAAAGTCATAAGTCAGGTAGTGACCGTCCTTCAGCTTTGTTCATTTCCTCCAATACTGCATCAGCTATTTGGGGTCTTTTGCCTCTTCATATAAACTTTAAAATCAGTTTGTTGATATCCATGAAATAATTTACTGGGATTTTTATTAAGATTGCATTGAATCTATAGATCAAGTTGAGAAGAACTGATATCCTGACAATACTGAGTCTCCCTATGCATGAACATGGAATATCTCTGCATTTATTTAGTTTTTTTGATATTGTTCATCAGAGTTTTGTAGTTTTACTCATGCAGATTTTGTACATATTGTTAGATTTATGCCTCAGCATTTCATTTTGGGGATGCTAGTGTAAATTGTATGTGTTTTTCATTTCAAATTCCACTTGGTTATTGCTGGTATATAGGAAAGTGATTGATTTTTCCAGGAGTTTTTTTGGTTGATACTTTCAGATTTTCTACATAGATGACCATGTCATCTACAAAGACAGTTTTATTTCTTCCTTCCCAGTTTGTATACCTGTTATTTACTTTTCTTGTATTGAATTAACTAGAACTTCCATTATGATGTTGGAAAGGAGTGGTGAGAGGGAATATTCTTGCATAGACTTGATCTTGGTGAGAAACCTGCCTGTTTCTCACCATTAAGTATGATATTAGTATTAGGTTTCTTAGTATAGATTTTTAAAAAGTAACCTATTAAGTTTTTACCTTTTAAAATTAGAAATAATTGTAGATTCACAGGAAATAGTCAGGAAAATTCAGAGAGATTCC